AAAATAAAAATAAAAAAATTCAGCAATTCCAAAAAAAATTTTAGATATTCCAAAAAGAATTTTAGTAATTCCAAACAGAATTTCAGCAATTATAAAAAGAATTCCAGCAATTTCAAAAAGATTTCCAGTAATTTCAAAAAGAATTCCAGCAATTCTAAAAAAACGACAGTAATTCACGAGTAATTTTTATAACTTTGCATAAGTTATTTGATAAAATAAAAAAAAAATAAACAAAAATTGTTTTTTAATTTTTTTGAAAATCTGCAAAAACATTCAAGAAACAATACTGCTTAACTTTAAAAAAAATCAATTTTTTTTTAAATCGTTTGATTTTTTTCAAAATTAGCTGATGCAAAATTGTAAAAGATAGATGAAAAAATTGTTTTTCTTATTTTGTCAAAGATTAGACGTTGTTTAGAAACAATTTGTACAAACGGTGTGTGTGTGTGTTTTTTTTTTTAAATCTAGATACCTACGAGCATTTTTCGATGAACAATCACCAAAAATTTTTTGTTTTTTATTATTTTTTGGAGTAGTGTACTATTGAGCGATAAAGTTAAAATTCAAAATTTTTAAACACTGTATATTTGAAAATAATTTTAAGATAATTTTAAGAGGTTAAAATTTGTAAATATATTTTGTAAACACACTTTTGAATATTATAATATTTACAATCTTGGTGGGTCACGCTGTGGACCGAAAAGCGAGCTAATTTGCTAATTATTTAAATGAAGGTGCCAAAAAGTGCAAAAATCCGGTCTTAATCCTTATTGTTATTCGATATGTAATAGTCTGGGAATTCTCATTCTCTCAAATAGTTAAAAACGAAAGATATCGAACTGTTGAATACCTGAAATGGGTATTGGAATTCAGCATATAGTTGTAAATAGTCATAACTGTCGGATTCCCTCCGCCGCTCAGTAATAACCCCCTCTAAAAACATCCACTTAACAATAAGAAATCCTCCAGAAACCGAACGAACGCACATATTATATATTTATGATTTCTTTTTTTCGAAATTTACTATTTACCTCATCTACCTGCTTATAGGCCTTTGCTTTTGTTTATGTCATATTGCATTTCCTACACTGTTACCAGAAATACAAAGCTTGAAACCCAAGTAAATGCCAAGTTTTGGGGATAAAATCGGCCAAGTTTTGGTAAAGTGGTCAAATGTGATGTCCCATTGCGTTTCAGTTGGATTTAGATCGGGTCAAATCGCGGATTATTCCCCGGGATCCGGTCGCGTTTTTCCAGTGTATGCCATAATGATATGATAATGAACACACCAATGGATATTAATTCAGGAATGATGTTATTTCAGGGATATAATGTCCGTTTTTATGATTGTTTATGTGCTACAGATGATTGGTTAGTATTGCTCGACTTGCCTTCGGAATATAATCCCTAATAATCGCTTAAATAAGATACACAATCACCTCCCTTTACCTCCAGGTAATTAAATACGATATTTGTGTTGATCGTCGTCTGCTTTTTGATTTTTAAATTAGTTTCGAATCGTTGAAACCTAAACGATTCTTTCCCGCTCTCTGTGTTTTTCCGTCCAAAGATATGAAATTATTGTTGTAATAAATTTATTAATGTGACTCGTTTCCAGCTCTTTCTAGCTTTCTTTCCTCTACTATCGTCTCTCGAAATATCATTAAGATTATCGGTGATATGATGTAATGTGGAAATACGGCGATGTTTCCTTCCTATCGTCCCTTATAATTTCCACAGATGGGAAATAATGCTGATACCTTTGTGTTTAGGGCGGCTTTCTCGGACGAGTTTTGCCGCTATTACGATGGTGAAGCTTTTTACGGCTTCTATTAACCAACAGACATTAGGAGTAAATCAATTTTCCACCTTATTGATTCATCAAGAAAAGCTCTACTAAACCAACTGTTTTCAAAACAGCAAAAAACAAGTGGTGAATAAATTATTATCCTATTTAGATTCAGGTTTAGCCTTAGAATCTCAAACAAACCAAAATTAAGACCTAAGTTTTTCTTTATAAAAGTCTAGATTACGATATAGGTACCCAGGTTTTGCCAAAAATATAGTTAGTGTAATGTTTTTATAGTCATGTCATATTTACCTATTTCTCAAATTTTCTATGTAATTATTTTACTTAGACCTAGATTTAAACCTAAACTTTAGAAACTCAAAAAGTGAGTCGCAAATTTAGTGCCTAAAGCTTTATATAAAAATGAGTACTCGAATTAAATAATTGAAACAAAAATGTGTTTAGGTTTAGGTTTGGGTCAAGCCTATTAGCTTCAAGTTTTACCTTAAAATCTCAGAAAAACCAAAATTGAGCTTTAAATCTTTCCTTACAAAAATGTAAAAGTTGAAATATGCCCAGATTTTACAAGAAAGCATTCTGTTTATACTTTTCTATAGTCAAGTTGATTCAGTTTTTTGTAACTTTCTATTCTCAAACATTATCAAAAAACAACAAAACATATAGTGAATTTATTAACACGAAACAGGTTATTTAAACCTAGGTTTAAACCTAAACTTTATAAAAGCAAATCATAAGTCGCAAATATAGTGCCTAAAACTTTATCTAGAATTGTATACCAGAAATACTAGAAATAAATAAGAGGAACAAGAATCACTAAATCTAAACTACAACTTTAAATAACAAAGAAGACAAATAAATCGCCTAAATTTCTATCTAGAAATGTGTTCTAGAACTAAATAACAAAAATAGGAAAGTGTTTAGGTTTAGATTTAACTAAATAAAAATATATCTATACCTAAACCTAAATTTTAGAAAAAACAAAGAGTAGCTGAGTCGTAAAGTGAATGCCTAAAACTTTATCTCAAAATGTGTACTGGAATTAAATAGGGTTTAGGTTCAAGTTTAAATTAAGTCTAGATGCTTTAGGTTTTAACTCAGGTTGAAATACATCAACTAAAATAATGGGTTGGGTTAAAATAAACATAATTTTCAATATTTTATTATGTAGATTAGGTTTTTTATATGTAGAAACGTTAATATTGACACAAATAAATAAAAAATGTGCTTTTGTGTAATGTTTTTTAGTGTAAGTAATCCAACACCAACCTTTGCACCTAGGTTCAAACCTAACTTTATAATAACAAAGCTTAAGTCGCAAATATAGTGCCTAAAACTTTATGTAAAAATGCATACCAGAAGCACTAGAACTAGGTAATTAAGCGGAATAAGAATGTGTTTAGGTTCAGGTTAAGATAAAGTTTCCTAAAACTAAACCTAAACCACAACTTTAAAAAACAAAGAGGACAAGTAAATCATCTAAAACTTTATCTAGAAATGTATACTAGGAACTCAATAACAAGAATAGGAATGTGTTTAGGTTTAGATTTAAGTAAAGTCTAAGTTAGGTTTTTTAAACCTATACCTAGACCTAAATTTTAGAAAAACAAAGAATAGCTAAGTCGTAAAATTAGTACCTAAAACTTTATCTTAAAATGTGTAGAATTAAATAAAGTTTAGGTTCAAGTTTAAGTTAAGTCTAGGTGCTTTAGGTTCCAACTCAGATTGAGATACATCTAACCAAAATCATGGTTTGGGTTAAAATAAGTACTTATTTTAAACATAATTTTCAATGTTTTGATATGTAGATTAGGTTTATTATATGTAGAATCATAAAAATTGACAAAGCTAATTAAAAAAATGTGTTTTTTTTGTAATGTTTTTTGGTGTGAGTAATTTCAACACCAACCTTTGAACCTAGTTTCAAACCTAAACTTTATAAAAACAAAGCTTAAGTCGCAAATATAGTGCCTAAAACTTTATCTAGAAATGTGTACCAGAAGTACTAGAACTAGGCAAATAAGAGGAATAAGAATGTGTTTAGGTTTAGGTAAAATTTCCTATTAAAGACTAAACCTAAACTACAACTTTAAAAAATAAAGAGAACAAGTAAATCGTCTAAAACTTTATTTAAAAATGTATACTAGAGCTCAATGACAAGAATAGATTCAGATTTAAGTAAAGCCTAAGTTTTTTAGGTTTTCTAAACCTATACCTAAACCTAAATTTTGGAAAAACAAAAAGTAGCTAAGTCGTAAAGTTAGTGCCTAAAATTTTATATCAAAATGTGCAGAATTAAATAAGGTTTAGGTTCAAGTTTAAGGTAAGTCTAGGTTTCAACTCAGATTGAGATATATCCAAGCAAAATAATGGCTTACTTATTTTAAACATAATTTTCAATGTTTTGGTATGTAGATTAGGTTTTTTAAATGTAGAAACATAAAAATTGACACAAGTAAATAAAAAAAATGTATTTTTGTGTAATGTTGTTCAACTGTGAGTAATTCAAACACCAACTGTATTAGTTTTTTGCATGTTTGGGCCCTTTGCTTCTCGTGTGAATGATTTTGAGGAAAAATCTAAGTATGATAGATGTAAAAAACGTAAGTTCCAGCAAAGCAGTTGATTATTTCATGGGCGAGCACCTCCGAATGTCATTATAATCATATTTATTATTGTTCAAGTTCGCTATGGCCATGCAGGCGTAAAAACAACGCCATAGAATTATAGACCGTACACCTCTTCACGTATGGCGCACTTACAAACTAGTATTATCAAAGAAAACTATCTAAAAAGTGTGATTTTATAACACTGAAATCGTTTTTTTGTCTCTCTCTTCGTGTTTAATGGGTGTGATGTCAGAGCAATTGAGTACGATTTTTTTTCACCATCATCCGAAGGAAGTCGTAGTTCCGCTATTTCACGATTATATTGTCTCTTTATCTGACGAATCTGTGGGAAGAAGACACTTTTTTATTTTCCTATATGATATATGAAAACGATTGTAGGGACACTTGAACCGGTGCACTTAGACGCGGTGAGAAATAATTATTTCTCACGATTTTTGACGATGGTCATTTTAATGCGTTTGACCTCCGATTCGAAGAATCGGACGAAATTTTAGATTTTTCGATAAGAACCGGTCGAAGACTTTCTAATAAACGACAAGGGAAATGTAACGCAATTTCTCGAGCAACTATTTTTATTATTGTTATTAATATTTACAACAGCAGCAATAATACTTGTCATTAAATATTTTCCCATGGTCATGTAGTAGCGTTAATCATAACACTTTTAATTTAGTATTTGTGTCACTTCCAAGAATCAAGACTTACACGTTTTTTGTAAAAATTTATTATTTCAAAACTAGTAGTTTAACTTGTCTTTGACGCATTCGAAATAAATAAAACACACACAAAATTAATTTTAGGAAAACCTGATGGAAGATCAGATTACTACACCTGTCTCGAAATTTCAATAACCAAATTTTTTGAGCATCTTTTCGTCATGTTTTTTGATAGCTTCTTCGTGCTTCTTAATTTGCTCCCTGTGAAACTTGATATCATCTTTAATTTCTTCTCGCAACTTGACCATTTGTTGCTTCTGCTTCTTGTGGAAGTATCCTTCCTCGCGGGCAGCTTGGATCCTCCCGAAGGCCCCTCCAGCGATGCGAATCGACCCCATCCCTCCACCTCCTCTCCCAACACCGCTCCCCAAATCCCCCAATTGCGACATAAACCGAATTTGGGTTAAATAAAATCGAAATTTCGCACAATTCATGTTTAGTTTTGACGTGGTTTTGACACACTTTGACACGAGTTTATTTGATTTAAAAAATGCCCGAATTTGGCCGAAAAGGGTGAAATAAATCTCCCCCATCACGTGAAAATCGTCGCAGGGTGCGAACAGTTGTATTTTTTCATCCCCCCATATTCAACAGGTAGCTATTGATATCAGTTTATTGGAAAATGGGGTATTTTATACCGGCTTCCGACTTTTTACGAGCTGTTGTCGATCGAGGGATGAATTCGTGTTTTCTCATGTCGCTTGTCATTCATCTGCCGTGTTTTCCGGATTAATCGTGCATTGTTCACGGCCTATTGGACTCGACCATTGATTGTTTTTCGTTATTCTACGCTTTGTTAACGTCAATGAAGCCACTGAATGCATAGCGATTCGAGATTGATGGATGGAATGAGAGAAAAACGTTGCTGATTTGTTTGGTTTAGTTACTGCTGCCTGATTGAAACATTGGTTTTAGATGGTTTTTGTTCTTTGATTGATATGTTTTCGAGCCGACGGATTGTATTGTTTCATATTTATCAAAAGAGTTTTTCGATAGGCAGCGACTACAAACGGCCCATTAAAATTCAAGGGTTTTTCGCGCTTTTTGAATAAACACATTTGACTTGGTTTGCAATGTAGAAATTGCAAGTGTGTTTGATGATTTCATTGTTAAAAACATGTTCTTCAAATTTAAAGCCAAAATAAATTTTGTAAATTAAAGTTTTTTTCTCTCTTTCTAGTCTTAAGTAACGTTTCAGGTTTAGGTGTTTCAATATTTAAGAGATATATTTTTTAGTTTCTAGTTAAAATTTGTCATTTCAAATTCTAATCTAGAATTAAACCTAAGTTGTTTGAGTACAGTAAGTAATACACTAAAATTTTGGTCGTGATTCAGGCCTAAAAGTTCAAACCTGTCAAACCTAACAAAATGTTTTCTCTTAGGGTTCAAGTGTGTCAGGTTTAAAATTATGTTACTTCGATAAAATCGAAAACCTAGACATTTTTTACTGCTGCAGTTTAAATTGTCACCTTGTTTGCGTTTACACAACTTGCCTAGGTTTAAATTATCAACAACAGAACACTAAACCACAGTGGTTTCGGCATAAAAAGCTAAACCTGATAAACCTAACAAAATGTTTTTGTTGGGGTTTAAGTGTTTCAGATTTAAAATTATGTTACTTTGAGAAAATTGATAACCTAGACATTATTTACTGCTGGAGTTTAAGTATATCTTTTGAAATTGTCACCTTGTTTGAGTTTATGCAACTTGTCTAGGTTTAAATTATCAACAATAGAACACTAAAGCTTTTATAAACCACAGTGCATTAAGCATAAAAATACAAATATGACAAACCTAACAAAATGTTTCCTGTTAGAGTCTTAGTGTTTCAGGTTTAAAATTTTGTTACTTTGATAAAATTGAAAACCTAGACATATTTTTTACTGCTAGAGTTTAAATATATTATTTGAAATTGCAACTTTGTTTGACTTTATTGTCTAGGTTTAAATTATCAACAATAGAACACTAAAGTTTTTGTAAACCACAGTGGTTTACGTGACAAACTTAACAAAATGTTTTTTATTAGGGTTTAAGTGTTTCAGGTTTAAAACCTAGACATTTTTTACTACTGGAGTTTAAATATATTGTTTGAAATTGACACTTTGTTTGACGTTATGCAACTTATTGTCTAGGTTTAAACTATCAACAATAGAACACTAAAGTTTTTGTATACTACAGTGGTTCCGGCGTAAAAAAGTATACCTGACAATCCTAACAAATTGTTTTTGTCAGGGATTTAGTGTTTCAGGTTTAAAATTATGTTACTTTAATAAAATTGAAAACTTAGATATACTTTTTACTGCTAGAGTTTAAATATATTATTAGAAATGGACACCTTGTTTGACTTTATGCAACTTATTGTCTAGGTTTAAATTATCAACAATAGAGCACTAAAGTTTTTGTAAACCACATTGGTTGCGGCGTAAAAACCTAAACCTGACAAACCTAACAAAATGTTCTTTTGTTAGGGTTTGAGTGTTTCAAGATTAAAATTATGTTACTTTGATGAAATTGAAAACCTAGACATTTTTTCACTGTTGGAGTTTAAATATATCTTTTGAAATTGTCATCTTGTATACAACTTGTCTAGGTGTAAATTATCAACAATAGAACAATTTCGGCATAAAGATCTGATAAACCTAACAAAATGTTTTCTGTTAGAGTTTAAGTGTTTCAGGTTTAAAATTATGTCCTAGACATTTTTTCATTGCTGGAGTTTAAAATATCTTTTGAAATGTTTGAGTTTATGCAACTTGTCTAGGTTTAAATTATTAAAATACACTAAACCACAGTGGTTCAGACGTAAAAATCTAAACCTGATAAAGTTAATAAAATATTTTCTGTTAGGAGCAAGTGTTTCAGGTTTAAAATTGATGAAATCAAAGACATTTTTTGGAGTTTAAGAATATTTATTAAATTGTCTTGAATTTTTTAGGTTTATTATCTCGTTTCTGATAAAAAATTTGAAATCGAGATGAAAAATTGATTTTCTTGGAATTGTGACCTGGCGTTTGATCGTATGAATAATTCGTCGCTCCGGTCACGTTTCGTCCGTCATCTTCAGGTCCATATCGTCAATCCCCTTCGTTTGCTTTCATTCCGTGTTATCAATCACGACGCAAGCAACCCTTTCTCTTGTCAGTCCCTCAAACGTCCCTTTAATAAATAACGTTCAATAATTTGCGAATGCGATTTGAATTCGTCGAAGTCTTCGTCCGCGGTGATTAGTCAACGGCCTTATTGTAATGCCTTGTTGTCAAGAGTCCGGTGATATATGAATCGAATCATATATCAAACAATATTCAGCTAATTCGACCGTAGGAATTCCTCTCTGTGAGTGTCTTTCTGCGACAGAGTCGTCGTTTGTGTGTGTGTGTGTATCATAAAGGATTTGATGTGTTTTGCTCGAATGAGGGTGAGGAGAAAGTGGCGGTGGTGGGTGGACAGTACGTCGCACAATACATTCGACCGGTGATGGATTTTCGGTTTTTGTCTTATACATGTGCCGGGATAATTTATTAAATTAGTCCTTTTATTGTACGAAGGAATGGACAGCGAGACGAGGATTCCACGACAAAAGAGGGTGCATTGATGACATTCTAGAAGCCTGGCTATTCCTTACATTAGACAAGGAATAATTTACTCCATTTACAAACAGGTGACTATTTTTAGATCACATGGTAACTAAACATAAGTCACAAAAGAAGCAAAAACTAAGTTTAGGTTCTGCAATAGAAAAAAAAATATAAAAAACACAAAACCCAATACTGTTGTTTGGTATCTCATCGCTGGTCAGAGTAAAGAGTAAAAAAATATATACAGGGTGCGTCAGAACTTGCGCCCCAGAGAAAATTACCATGTAAAATGTTAAAAAAATTCTGACTATAAAAATTTTGAAGTTATTAGAGTTTAAAATAATTACCAAAAACATATACAAAATCATCTGTTTTATTAAATAGACATAAAAAAATGTGAAATGTCAAAAAAATAAATAAATAAAAATAAATTTTTTTGAAAGATAGAATTTTTTAAACATATTTTCTGTTCCTGTATCTTATCTTGCTTGAAATTTATCTCTGGGGCGCGAGTTCTGACACCCTGTATATAATAAAAATAATTTTTCGTAATATTTGACTGTTATATGATCATAACCCTACAGTTTCCATGCTTGTTATGACAAAGATATCAGCCTAGGCCATTAAAATATGACATCTTGGACGTTATTTGGTTAAGACCAAAAGGCCACTTGTGTCAAGTTTGATATTATTTGACACTATGATTTTAAAAAATTTTGACAAAAGTATCATGAGAAGTTATTCAGTGTCTATCTTTTTGGTGAACAGTCTAAAAAATTTGTTCAAGTTTTAAAAGCTAAAGATCAAAACATTGGCATATTTGTATACAGGATGTCTTCGAGTCTTCGAGTTGAAAATTGACTTAGTAATAAAAGAGTGTAACCTAGAAAAAAACTCACACATTTGTTATTATTAAGTAGGTTATTTAACTCCAAAATATTGGTACACAGTTTGAGGGTCACTGGAATTATTTTCTTGTTCAGATAAAATTGTATTGTTGCAACAAATAAAAAAATCGTATCCGTAACAATGAAAGAGAAAAGTCACTTTATAGTTTTGATACTGTCATCATTTGATTTGCTTTTGCTTTATTTTTTATCAATATTTGAAAAAGATCTTCTGTTTAATCCCTCCCAGAGAAATGGTTTTCAATTGGTTTGATTTGTTTTTTTTTAATTCCTTTGCAAATTTATGAACATAAAATATTAAAATAATAAATTAGTTGTGATTATGATTTACGGTGAAATACCAGTAATGATATTAATGGCTATTGTTGCAGCCGAAACAGCAGTTCTCAAACAAATAATTAATATAATATGAATTATTTTCTTTCACAACGTGAATTTTTGTTTTATATAGCGGATAAGTTTTCTTCTACTATGAATATCATCTCATTTAAATTTCAACTTCAAGACTGTAAAAACCCTGTATTTATCAAAAATATTATTTTCTTTTGTTTAAATATAAGTAATTTTTATGTATACAAAAATTTAATTCTGATTATAACAAAAAACATAAAATTTTAGAAAAGTTTTAAAGATTTATGTATTAAGTAAGTTTTTCATTCCTACTTAATATTACATCTTACTTAAATTTTAAACATTATAGAACAACAAATTTTTCAATTTCAAACTTTAACACTTTATTCACCTAAACTTAGTTTTAGGTTTCAAAACTTAAGAATCCTAACCCTAGACAAATGTTGTCTTTTTAATAATCTAAACTGAATTATTTTTTACTAAGAAAACACTCGAGTTTAATTTTTTTTATTTTTTTCAGTATTAATACGAGTGGCACAGTTAAAACAAGATTTTAATTTTTTTTTAATTTTTATTCACTTTAATGAGAGGTATTGGAAATTTATTATCCCTAAATCCAGTAGATATCCTTTCTTCTATCGTTCCGAAATC